GTTGTTGGGAGTGGATTGCAATCTTTAATTCAAGTTAAAAATATTAATATTAAAATTGCCATATTTTTTGTTGAAGATAATACATCACATTTCTTTTTTTATATTTTTATAAATCCTGAATTAAGAATGAAAATTTGTATCCCACTGAAAAAATAAATCCTGGGCAGCGCTATCCCACATATTTGTAGTACTCAACACTATCAATTCTCTAAAAAATATATATTTTTTTAAAATAACACTATCAAATCTCTGAGTTGATCGTTCTGACATTGTTGGTCTTGTTGCTGGCGGTGAACTTTGATTCTAGTGAGTTGGATCCTTTAGTAGCTTCTCCAGTGGCGCCTATTGATATGCTTGTGTCGGTTTCCTCTGTGAGATTGGGAGTAAATGAACAGCTAGTTGATGTTCCAGTTGCTTTACATTCTTTTAACGACTTGAATGCCCATGTGGACGTAAGATCGGGGGAAACTATTGAGGCGCAAATTGATTGGTTTGAAGGCTCTTAATCTTCTCCTTCTGAGGTTGATGAAAAGGAAGTGTTTGAACATGAGGGCTTATTTGATTTGAATGTAAGTGGTGTTATGCATGATACTATGGTTCGGGTGGGTAAACGAAGAAAGAGAAAATCTAAAAATAGCTATTTTTTTGTGGTTGGCTTGATCGCTGCTGCTTTGGAGTCATGGGGTGTTGGCATTGTGTGGGTTATTTTTTGGTTGTTGGGGGTCTCATCTTTACCTTTGGTGTAGTCTTTTTTCCTTTTGTTTGTGCAGGGTGCTGTTGTGGTGCTAGTTGGTGGATCTCTGGACTTTTGGTATTTTTCTTTTCTTTTTTGCTTTCTATTGGTTTTGTATTTAGATGGATTCCGAGGCTCTTAGGTTTTATTTCAATTGTTGTATTTTGGCGAGCTTTGGAGTCTTTAAGGACGTGTACTTTTTATTTATTTTAACGCGTAGGCCCCCTTCTGTGAGGTTTTAATTTAAATAAATAAAAAAAAAAACAGTACAATTCTCTGAATTCATTCATATTAAATATTACCTAAAGTGTTGACCACATTAATATACCAATATCATTTTGTGTAACTTCAAGCCATGTTAACTTATTTGCCTCTTTTCTATCCTAACTATTTAAAATTAATTACGCCTATATGTTTTAACCCTTCAACAGGAACTTTTTCCAATAAATATGATTTAAACAAATATATTTCTTTCTTATTTACACTTATGGATAAAATTACCTTATGTTAGGAATGCAAAAAATAGTCAGAACAAAAGGTGAACGTTAAACTTATCAGAATAGGTAAATATGGTAGAGGAAATAATTGCATCATTGGAACCAAAGATATCCTATTAAGAATCTTAATGGTTGTATGAATAGCACTGTGAGAAGCGAATAACTTTAACTCATATACCATTTTCTATGAATTAAAAAGAAAACTACAGGCAATCTATGAGATTAGGTGCTGAAAAATTCTCATAACTACTAAAAATATTATAAAACATCAAATGTCACAAGTAATTTGCTTAGCATTTTATTAGCAAGCGTTGTAGTTCAAGTAATGCACTCATAAAATTTTAATTTTCTTGTACAAACAGACTCCTCTCACTTTAGTACGCGTTCGAGTTCAAGTAATTTGTTTAGCATTTTCGTCGTAGATCCAACGCAAAATATTTGCAACATATTTCTTCCATCGCTAATACTTTGGCGACATTGGTTTTAACGACGGAGTCAATTCCGCCACAAATAAGGATATGCGATGGATTTCCCTTATTTTGTGACGGATTATTTAATTTCATGTAGTGCCTCCAAACTCAATTCTTTAGAAAGGACCTCACCACATATCCTCTCTCAGACAGCACCTCATCTCTTGTATAGCTCCTCTAATCGGTGACTTAGTTTGGGCACTATTAGAACAAACAAATAAACATTAATCCTGTATAGCCTTTGTATAGCCGTGTACAGGTGTTGGCATGCTATTGGTCTTACCTATCTGTATCTAATACCTAAGTCTATATATTGTTCTGTATACATCACAGTTGTACATATGATAGAAATAATAGTTTACATTCTTTCTCATTTTCTCTGTTCAAGACTACTCTTCTTGTTCTCCGTTTCTACATGGTATCAGGAAAGGCTCTTCGATCTTGAAGCATGGCATTGTCTTTCTCCCAGAGCGGCGATTCCGCTGTTCAATAGCCTACTGACGGTACGCAAATCTCTACCACCTTGAAATTTGTTGTTTCAAATCTTCGCAATTTCGTTACTACTCCGCTACAACCCGACAACTACGCCATCTGGAAATCGCAAATTCAGAAAATCCTTCTGGCCAATGGGTTCTCGCATTTCTTGGATCCCAGTTATCCCTCTCCTCCCTAGTTTCTATCGAACCCCGATGGCTCTAAATCCACTAATCATCTTCACACCCAGTGGATTCTCCACGATCAAAATCTGTCGGCTTCAATCTACTCCACTATCTCCTCCTCTGTTTTACCTTACGTTATTTCTCTAGACTCTACTGCTGATCTCTGGATTGCCTTGGAAAATCGGTTTCAAGCTACAAATCGATCAAAGATCATCCAACTAAAGAATGCTCTTCACCAAGTTTCTCTCAATAACCAATCAATGACTCAATACCTATTGGAGATCAAAACTGTCATCGATCAAATCGCGGCGACGGGTTCTTCCGTTGACGCTGAAGATATTATTCACCACATTCTCAACGGGCTTCCGCAATCCTACCAGTCATTCAAAACCGCTATACGCACTATGCTCACCCTGCTCAGTCTGGATCAGCTTTACCCTCTTCTCCTCAGTGAGGAGATCAATCTTGCCTCAGACGTGGCTCGCGCTCAACCAAATCCTGATCCCGCTACGGCTTTGTTCACGTACAGGGGGGCGCGATCGCAGGTCAAGAGGTCGGAATCCTTCCAACTCGGCAAATCAATCTCGCAATCCAGCCAATGTTTCTCTTGTCTATCAAATTTGTTACAAGAAAGGGCATACCGCCCAATCTTGTTGGCACAGACTTAATGCTCAGTACGTTCCATCTCCAAGAGCTGGTAATACAGCTCTTATGGCAAATTTCGAAACCTCTCCAGCCAACTGGTATTTGGACTCCGGCACTTCCTCGCACTTAACCAACTCTCTTGACAATCTTGCCATATCGCAACCTTACCACGGACAAGATAATATCACCATTGGTGATGGCAGCTCCGTCAGCATCGCTAACTCTGGGACCGGCATTCTTCCGACCCCAACCCGTAAGCTGCTTCTGTTCAAGATCTTTCACACTCCTTCACTTCATTATAATTTGATTTCTATCTCTCAACTAACGAAAGACAACTGATTGTGTGTTGGATCTTCGTACAATACTAAGACGTTAAATTATATATTTCTCTATCGTCGTGAATATTCCAGGACACAATAATGATATATATATATTATATATATATAATTTGAATATAACGTATGAAATAAAAAGTTACGATAAAACAAGCATAAATGATTTAGGGTTTTTAGTTAATTTATTTTAATTGGCGAAACTTAATTTAATATTTATATAATAAAAAAGGCTACTCATTGAGATAAAACATACTGTATGACTGGCGTTTACTTCAATTTGTTAGCCATAAATATTTTTGTCTTATGACATATTCAATAATAATTTAAGATTATGATTTTTTTTCATAGAAAAATTTCTCAATTATCCTTTGTTCGTTCTAATACATTCGTGGTTTGATATATATATATATATATATATATATAATATTCAATTTATAATTTATATAGAATTAATGTTTTAACACTCAATTAAAAAATTAATAATTGCAAATAATAATTCTCCATGCTTAGTCAGAAAGAAAGCTGTCGTGGGTCACAACAATAATTGAAGAAAACTTTCTGAAACATTGATAAATGCACTGGCAATCAAATGGCCCATTCTTGATAAATGCACAGCTATATATATTTTCTATTCTTTAATATATGTGAAAAAATGCCCAAAACGTACGGTCGGCAGTTGCTCATTAATTTTCTTGCCCATCTCCATCCCATCTACCTTCTTTTAAATTTGCACCTACTTAAGTTGTTCTCCTTCTTCAGCAATCTCCTCCAAGAAGCTCAACATGGCGATGATCTTGGATGCTTTTATGAGCAATTTCTCTACTTTGCTCGCTGATTTTGTCCATGAAGAGGTGATCATGCTGCTAGGTGTGAAGGATGAGCTTCAAACGCTCCATCGTCGGATGAGGAGAATCCAATGCCTACTGAAAGATGCTGAAAAGAAAAAGTTTGATGAGTCATCATCCACTGAACTCTGGCTTTCTGAGCTTAAGGATGTGATGTACGATGCTGAAGATATCATTGACCTCTGCAGAATTGAGGGCACTAAGCTGCTCGCTGATCAAAATCCTGAATCAAGAACTTCTTCGGTACGTTGCGATTTCTCATCTGCCTTCTCCTGTTTCACTAGTGTTCCCTTGCGTCATGAGATTGGAAACAGAATTAAGGATATTAATGAAAGACTCAAGGAGATATATGAAGATAGAGAACGTTATAACTAGAGAAATCTGCAATATCGGAAACCCCACAAATTACTCTAGTTGATTCTTGTCAAACTTGTTCCATGAATGATCCTTTTGTTGTGGGAAGAGAGGTTGAGGTTGCAGCAAATCGTTTGGTTGATCGGTTGATTGGGGAGAAGGTTGAAGAAAAATGCCGTCTTTTTGCAGTTACTGGCATGGGTGGGATAGGGAAGACAACTCTGGCTCAAAGAATTTTTAACCATCCGAAAATTAAGAACTTTTTCAACTTAGATCCTGTGTGGGTTTGCGTTTCACAGACTTACTCAGAGCGTGGAAAAATTTTCTGAACGATAATGCATGGTCCATTTACAACCTTCCTAGGGAGCTTAGTGGTGCTATGTTCCTTAGTTTTGAAGATCTACCTTCGCATATGAAGCAATGTTTTCTATACTTCTCTTTATATCCTGAGGATGCTCGGTTAGATCTACATGAGTTTGCTCAGCTTTGGGTAGCTGAAGGATTCATAACAAAGCAACAAGATTCATTAACAGAATATTTAGCAGAAGAATGCTTCAATGAGTTACTTAATAGAAATCTTTTGCTGCCAAAAGGTTCTTGGGATGAGTACAAAATGCATGATCTTGTCAGATCTCTAGCTATCTTTTTGTCTAAAGAAGAAGCTTCTTTTGGAGCTTCGAATGTGAGGAATTCCACCACATCAATTAAGCTTCGTCGCATATCAGTTGCAAATCAAAAAGCAACAGTTGAAATACTCGATTCTATTGCAGATCAAGGAGCCCTGAGAACCTTGCTTGCTTCACGTTCTGATCTATTGTTAAATGATGAAAGATTGAGGAGGTTTTCACATCTACGTGTGTTGGACATTTCCTGGACACATATTCAAGTACTTCCTGACTCTATAGGAAACCTAATGCATTTGAAGTATCTTAATTTGAACTATACATATATAACGACAATACCAGAATCCATAGCGCAATTAACAAACTTACGATTCTTGGACATATATAATTGCCTAAATTTGAAACAACTTCCTAGTGGAATCACTCTGTTACACAATCTTAGGCGCCTTGATATTAATAAAACTCGTGTTTGTTTCATTCCAAAAGGAATAGAGAAACTGCAACAGCTTCATTATCTAAGTGGTTTTGTGGTGGCCAACAATGACTCTAGGAGTAGCAAATTGGAAGAGTTGAATTCTCTAAAACAGATAAGAACGCTCAACATTGACAACTTAAAGAGACCTCAAAGTGAAACAATACTTCTTAAAGGACTACCTAACCTTTCTACTTTGACGTTGAAGTTCTCTGTGGACAGCTCAAGTCCGAGTGAGGAACAAGAGCTAGCAATAGAGGAGTTGTTTGACAAGATAATACCTCCAGAAAGCCTAGAAATTTTCAAAATAGATAAATTCTTTGGCCGTCTTTTGCCCAATTGGATGGTCTCATCATCTTTTAAAATTTACCTTCCAAATTTGACTAAATTGTCGTTCTGGTGCATAAAATCATGCACTCAGCTCCCGCCATTAGGTCAGCTGCCAGAACTTAGAGAGCTTGATATCGTGAGGGCGACTAAAGTGAAGAAAATTGGGCCAGAATTTTTTGGTAGTGACGTCAATTCAACCAGGATTGCTTTCCCCAAGCTTGAACGGCTTTTAATCTCGGATTTTCCTGAGTTGGAAGAATGGTCTTTTGGCGCTCAAGTTAAGAAAAATGCATGTCTTTCATGTTTACAACAACTAACAATCAAGCAATGCTGGTTACTGAAACAACTACCAGAAGGTCTAAAATACTCTCCTATGAAGATTCTTGAGATACATTTTGCTGGAAGCTTGAAATCAATTGAAAATCTCCCTGCTGAAATCGAGGAACTAAAATTAAATGGGTGTATAAATTTAAAACAGGTGTGTTGTGCCCCTACGTTAAAGATTCTCATAGTTTATTCCTGCAAGGCTTTGTCTTGCATGGAGAATAAGTTTGATTCATTGCAGAGATTGGTTTTTTCTGACTATGATAATGAAAGCCTTCCAGAGTGGATATTGAAGCCTCTACAACAATGTGGGTTGCAAAGTAATTCTAATGATGACTTCTATCTTGAGTTGCACTGCAGGATGGAGGTTTTTCGAGAATGCTTAGAAGGAGGTTTTTATTGGGACCTAATTCAACACATTCCCCAAGTAAAAGTATTTGGTCGAGAACATCATCTTAAAAATGTTAAACATCCTGTTAGCTTTGATTGCCATCTTCGATATAGTAAACAACTCTATGTTTATGAAACAAAGCTTTAATTAATTCAGATGTTGGAGGTTTGTTAAGGATTATTAAGCTATTGTGGTGTACGTAATTTGTATTTTAGTGTGTGTGTGATTCTTTTTATATTTGTGAGTGTGAGCTATATATATTGTACCATGGTATAAACCATTTGTATGATTTGCTTAATATGTGTGGGGCCATCCTTCTTTCCGATTAGATTGCTTCTGTAATGTGAATATTATGTAAGAAAAAGTTATTTGTAAGTTTTTTCAAGGAATAATTAAGTGTGCTTGCATTATGCATTATGTGTTTCTCTTCTTGCTCTTGGATCTTCATTTTCAATGTGGAATTAAAGAAAATAACTTATGTAATCTTTAATTTTTATTTGTTTCATTTTTTTATTTATTTTTAAATGATGTTTTAATTAAAGGGTATACTTTTGAATGAATATATATATTCCATTGAAACAATTGTTTCCCGTGGTCTCAATCAAGATTTCAAATTTAATTTCGCGTTCTTATTTTTTATTTTTTTTTTCTTTTTTATTATTACATACATACCACCCATAGCTCATTTTTATATCAAATATGAGTGGTAGAAATGAAATATATGAGTGGAGAGGAAAATATGAGTGACATATTTGATATTAAAATAGTATAGGGTGATATGCTCTGTAATATTAAAATTTTAGGTGTTTAGATATGTAAATAGGAAGTTATAAGAGTGGTATGTATGTAAATTTGTTGTGCAAACTCAATTGATAAATTTTATTACTAAAGCATAAATGATAAGATATATAACATGCAATATGAAACATATAAATGACAAGATCTATTATATTAAAATAAAATTATATAACATGAATGATAAGTGGATATAATATGTCTACATTGATTAGTAGAATGAGGGTGATGCTCATTATCTTTAATATAAAAAGAACATATTTGATATGTCTATATGCTAATTAAATTAAGCGACATCACGAGCTCTTCTCCCACATAGACCAATGATAAGAACTATAGCTAAAAGAGAAATAACAACAGCCTTTCTTGAAAATAAAAAGTTTAATGATATAATCTTTATAATAATCTTATAATCTTGTTTTTTTTTTTCTTTAGATTGAAATAGATCGTCTCTTAAAATTAAAAGGATATTCAGTTTTTAAAAATCTAATGAAGAAACTTTTATTTTTTTGACTTAAAATTACTCCATTTACCTCCGACCTTCTCCGTCCGCAGACTACAGTCCCTCCGACCTCCGTCACCCGCCGGAAAAATTATTACATGCGGCGCCTAGATTCGTCCGGAGGCAAATCCGGAAGCACCATGTCACCCGGGGCCAAGAATCCGGGTGATGTGAAGCGTTAGGATTCGTCTCCGGTCGGTCCAGACACCGCACATAATAATCTCTCCGCCCGCGACTACGATCACTCTGACCATCTTCGCCGCCAATTACAATCCCCCGACTTCTATCTCTAACCAATAAAAAAACTTTACCTTAACAAAAAATCTCAACCAAATAAAATTTCTATACTTGTTTACTTGTAAGATTATGCTAATTCTAAATACTATTTGGAGAGAGAGAGAGAGAATTTATTTATTTTAAATATTTAAGGAGCTTTTCATTGATGATCCACCTAACTTCTGCAAACCAAGCAGCATTAACTTAGGAAAATGAATCCCTCCAAATCTTTAACAAAAACCGGTCCATCTGTTATATGAGCATTCAATTCACAGAAGTCGAGCCACAAATTTACGCACCCAAAATCAGCCCCACAAAATAAATCATGACCGTCTATTTCTACCTTCCCAGTTCCCAAGATCAATCTAGTAAAGAAATGACCTTTTCAATCATATATTTTGAATACTTTGTAATAATTAATTCCACCTCACTACGTTGATGGTTGATATCATCCTACTGGCTAATGATGTTTGAACTATATCTAGGGCTAATTTGATTGCTTGTTATTAAAAAAAAAATATTAGCCGTTTAGATATGTTAATGCATATTTATAATTTCTTCATAATTTAAATTTTTTTAAAATAATTTACTTTAAATTATTATTTTAAATATTATTAAAATTTTAATATAATTAAAACTTATGAAATTATAAAGTCATATGTATACAATTAAAAACTATTAAGTTTTATCAACCATTTTCTATTATATATATATATATAT